ATAAATGGCCTTTCATTCACTCTTTCTCACATTCACACGTTATTTCGAACGAATCGACACTCTAACTCTCTCTCTCTAACTTATTTCACTTCGCGTTGTCGCGTCGTGTCGCACAATTCTAGAGACCCTTTACTAGAGACTGATCATTTCGGGACTTTTGCTGATTGGTGCACGTGACTTCAGCACACTAATGGCGGCGCCAATAAGGAACGCTGTTCAGCCGAGCGCGAAAAGCAACTGATTTCTGCCTAAAAAGGTATAAGCAAAAGTAATAATGTTTTTTTATAGACTTTGACATCTTGAATATATTAATGTTATTAAAAAATTCGAGGCGGATAGAGAATACCTTGAAAATTAAGCGCGAACATGGTATATTTATTTTTTTTACATGAATTTCAATATTCTTGTTTAATTTTCAAAGTGTTGCTCAAACGCTATGAACTTTTTAATATCTTTGGGTGCATTCCACTTGACGCTCGCAACGATCACGAGCATCGTTTTTCCTTGTTTGACATGTAATAAACAACAAGGATGAAATGATTCCATAAGCGTGTGAGCGTTTAATGGAACACAGCCTTTATCGTATCCAAGAGGTCATAATATAAAAAAACACTATTCCTTTTACTTATATTTTCCTTTTACTTATATTTTCCTTTTACTTATATTTTCCTTTTACTTATATTTCTATATAAATAACAATCTATTTTAATACCTAAATTCAGTCAATATGTATACTTACAAGCTATTTCTCCTACCTACATGTAATACATTTCTTCTGATATAACGATCAACAAACGAAATCGACAACTGATCGAATCGATTTATCGATTTATCGTCGCCATTTGTGTGCCAAATGATCAGTCTCTAGTAAAAGGTCTCTACACAATTCGTGCGTCACGATTTCCAAGATGGCCGTCGCCATTGTTCTCACGTGCCGCGCTTGCATGTACCGCGTATCACGTATTTGGAGGCTATTTCCTCACTTTTCTCGTGTAATTACGACGCGGGGCGTTTACGGGAGACTTACTATTAACGTATTTCAATGAATTACGGCATTTTTTCGCCGATTTCCCGTGTTTTCTATATATGTCGGATTATTACCGAAATTCACGATTTCTCGCCTTTATTCGCGTTTCGCGATGTTCCTTAGACGGTAACACACTTTCCCGACTCGATTTAGATCGGGTTTATATGGTATTTGCGCGTTCCGCTTTGTTCTGAGCCGCACCGACGCGACGCACGTCCGCCACGATCTGTTACTCGGTTACGACTGACTTTCAATATGGCTGGCTTCGCTGGCAAGATGGCCGGGAAGAAATGGAGCGTACTTTTTTCCGCGGTGCGTTCTATGTTCCCTAATCTGGTTTCTTTCTAGTTACTCATTCAAACAGGCCTTACAGTGTCAAAAATAGCTTAAATAATTAGGAAATAACTTCCTGAACATGAAATCCTTATGGACTTTCGCTTTTTAACATTTATTTTTGCGAATAATTAAACATTTAAGTTGGACAATTCCGGCAACCAATCAGGTGTTTTTTTTTATTTTTTTTTTATTTTTACGTGGGAGGAGAAAATCTTCGTATACCCCCTCCCGAGGGGGACCCTTTCGGGACACCCATCGGGAAGGGGAAAACCCCCGACAACCCGTACCGTCGGGAGTGCCGGATTCGACCATCTCGTGATCCCTGGGATACCATGTATCCCATGAACGCACCGAGACGGCCGCCTACCGACTAAAAACTCCCCCCTTTCGTACGCCCTCCTAGGCCTATGGGGTGACACCCTGGAACCGCAGCCTAGCATATCGTCAAGGTGCCACCCCACCTACAGGGCCGCAAGCCCTCTATCACCAATTCGGGTTTATCTACCTAACTATTATTGGCCGCGTGCCACGCTATCTTTGTACACTATATACATTACAATATACATATATATACAGTATACATACGTCCAACGCATCGCTATATACATCGTTATATACACATTCTTGTGTGGTGCAGGGGTCCACTTAGGCTTCTAATCCACCCCTGTGCGCCCGTGCACCACCGCGCCATTGCCAGCGAGCCTCATTCCTCGCTGTCCGATGTGTCGGCTTGGAGGACCAGCGCGTCCACGGGTGCCCGGATAACCCCCCGCTCTCGGGCACGCTCGTCCTCCTCCTTCTTCCTCATGACCCCCTCGCAGAAGGTCATGAAGACAGTCCAAACGTTTTCGTGGAGCATGATCGCCCCCACCACCGCATCGTAGGTCCTATCGACCCCTATTGCTTCTAAAATCTCCCCTCTCTGTTCCGCCCAGGCCGGACAAAACAGCAGGGTGTGCACCGCCGTATCCGCTGTCGCGCGGCAATAATAACATACTGGGGAGATCCGACGTCCTATCCTAAACAGATAGGCCTCGAATACTCCATGTCCGGTCAGGACCTGGGTGGTGCGGTAGGTGAGGGCCCCATGCCTCCTTTCCACCCACCTCTCCAGGTGTTCCGCTACTGCGCCTCGCACCAGCGCTCCGAGACCACTCGCGGGCATCTCAACGAGTCGCTCGCGCCATCTCCAGAGCGCGCGCTGTCGCTCTATTCTGATTATATTGTCCCTCTCACGGGGGGACAGCACCCCGTTTTCGGCGATGGTCTGCCGTCGTCGGAGATATGACCTTCTCAGTCTGTTCGCTTCTATGTCGGCGGGGACCATACCCGACAGTATGGCCGCCGCGTCGTGTGATACGGTTCTATACCCCCTGATCGTCCTTAGCGCCAGCTGTCGCTGCAGCCTCCTAATCCTACTCGAGATCCACCGATCCCCGGCCACGGTGGTCGCCCATATCGGCGCTCCGTACATAATGACGGCCATCGCAGCGGTCGCGTACATTTTTCTACGCTTCTCACCCGGCCCGCCAATGTTGGCTGTTATTCTTGCCAGCGCCATTGCCATTCTCCACGCTTTAGGCACGACGATTCGGAAGTGATCCCGAAAGGTCCACCGCGAGTCCAGGGTCAAGCCCAGGTATCTCACGGTGGACCCAATCGGGACCACCCCTCCCCTCACCCTTAGGGTCGCATTTCCCGGGACCATGCCCCCAGTAAACACCACTGCCTCGGTTTTTGCTATCGATACTCGCAACCCCATCCTTTCTATTTCCCGAATTAAGAAAGTCGCGCCTACCTCCGCTCTGATCTTCGCTTCATCCAATGTGTCCGCCCTTACGACCAGCAGAGTATCGTCCGCGTAGCACATCGTTCTGCATCCTACCGGGAGCCTAAGCCTCAAGATAGCATCGTACCCTATGTTCCACAGGATTGGTCCCAAGACCGAACCCTGTGGAACCCCGCATGTAACTGCCACACGTTTGTACCTATCCATTCTGTCAATATATAATAGGTCCCTATCCGCCAAATAATCGCCGAGGATGGCCCTAAGGTGTTCCGGCACCTTCTTCTCCCTAAGCGCCTCCTTTATGATCGGCCACGGCAAGGTGTTGAAGGCGTTCGCTATATCTAGCGACATCGCCATCACCACCCCACCGTCCCGCAAGCCCTCATCCACGCTTTCTCGCAGTCTCCACACTGCATCTATTGTGGAGCGGTACTTTCTGAAACCGAACTGACTCTCGGCTATGCCTTCATTCTGTTCCAGAAACGCGCTTAACCTATTCACGATGACCCGTTCAAACATCTTCCCCGCCTCACTCAGCAAACAGATCGGCCTGTATGAGGACGGGGCTAGGTCCGGTTTACCCTGCTTTTTCAGAAGCACTAGTCTCGCGACCTTCCACTGTCGGGGGAAGTATCCCTCTTTGAGGCACTCAGTGAAGCACCTCAACCAAAGAGGGATGAGCTGTCCTATAGTTTCTTTTATGACGCCTCCGGGTATGCCATCCGGTCCTGGAGCCTTCCCGGTTTTAACACCCGCACAGGCCTCCAGCACCTCCTCATGCGTCACCGCGTGCTCTTCTCGCCATTCCATCGCCGTCCCGTTGTTGTGGGATGTGATTCCTTTTGGGAATAGCACCGATACTATCCCTTCTGCAACGTCCGGTGGTAGAGTCTCCACGATGGAGGCACTGCCAGTCGACAACTTCTTGGTGACTACTTTATAGGGCAATCCCCATGGGTCCCTCTCTAAGTCATTCACGAACTCTTTCCACATTTTGGCCTTGGATTTACTTATGGCCCTCCTGAGCTCTCGCCTAGCCTCTTTCAGTCCGTCCCATAGCGTCCTGACGTTTTCTGGACAGGCGCATCTTCTCCCTCTCATTCGCGTTAGTCTCCTTCTCCATTTATTGCAGGCCCGTCGGAGCTCCTCTATTTCCTCGTTCCACTAGTATACCGATGGACGTTTAGAGGGTCCCTTTCTGGGCATTGCCGCGTCCGCTATGTCCCGTAAAACCTCATCTATTCTCTTCGCACTCCGGGCGCCATCTCCTTGAACTCCTTCCCACGCCGAGAAAACCGCTGCCGCCTCCATCATATCCCGGTCCATGCGTCGCGTGACCCATCTCGGGAATTTTTTCAGCGCTGTTCTTCCTAGTTCGGTGCCCCTCAACGAGGCTCCCAAGTCCATTAGGATATACCTATGGTCCGATAAGGACTCCTTTTCGGTCGCGACCCGCCAGCCCGTAACCTTCCTGGCTGCGGTTGGTGTTGCCAACGTGATGTCCACGACGGATGTACCTCGAGGGTGCACACACGTGGGTTCCATCCCATTGTTAATAAGCTGCAGTCCTCTAGTCCCCATCCAGCCCAGAAGGATGCCTCCCCTCCTGTTTGGCCTTTCTGGGTCCCAGGCCTGCGCTCTGGCGTTAAAGTCGCCGGCCACTATTGTTGGGTGTCCCCTTCGTAGTACGTCCCGCAATTTATCGTCCATCTCGTCCAGATCTTGGACGAATTCGGCGATGCTGAGGCTGGGGGGAAAGTAACACGAGACGATCGTCACGTCCCCCCAGTCCACAGCCACGAATCTCGCTCCCCTGCACCGGGGTGCGCACGGCGTCCTCACGCCTCCCTATTGCCACGTTATCGCCGTGGACGGTGGCTCGCCCGTAGAAGCGAACCATTTGTCGCTGTCTGGTATTCGAGCGGGTTCCGCCACGGCGACCAGTCCGACGTCCAATTCATCGGATATCTTTCCTATATGGTCCTGTGAGGGCCTCGATCTATTGACATTGATCTGTGCGAACTTAGCCATCACAAATGTCCATGTCCTCTGCTAGCGCAGACCCTGAAGCCTGGGCCCCCCGATCGGCCCCCTCACTCGCTTTCTCCGTTCCTACCGCGTTTAATTCTTCACTTCGCGGTGTTTGCCCTCTCCCGTTGTACGGCACGCACGACGTCGATCCCGCTCTGTGATTCGCGTTCATGCCTCTCGCGGCGCACACTGGGCATCTCGGCGAGGCTCTACACCCGAATGCCCTATGGCCATCGCTTCCCCCGCACTGAAAGCACCACGACGATCTGTCCACGATACTCAGACAGTTGGCTCTGGTGTGTCCCACCGCGAGGCACCGGAAGCATTGCAGCCTCCTCTTTGCCAGTGGGACCACCTTTGCCATAGTCCAGCCAACTCTTATTTTCCCGCTGCTGAGCATTAGGTTTGCTCCCGCTAACGGACACTGAACCCACACGGTGCACAAACCGCCCCTGCCCTGTCTCAATGGACCCGCTCTAACACTTGTAGCAGGCACTTTTCCACTTTTGGACACCGCCTCTACTATTTCTTCTACCGTGGCCGACTGATCCACATCGATCAGTCTTACCTCCGCTCTCTGTACCGGGCGTATAACGCTTACGCTTTTCTCAAATTCACTCCCAGCTATTACTGTTTTCAGCCGGCCGACGAGCGCTTCCGCCTTCGCACTAGCCTCCTCTCCGCCCGGGATTTCGATCAATAATCCCCCTGCCTGGGCCTTACGTATTCGAGTATTAGATATCTCTAGTTCATCCAGAGATATCTTATTTCTTGCCATTCTCATAACATCCGCATATGTCGGCGCGGAGTTTCCCCCTGCTTCCTCGCATCTTAGCAGGACTGCTGCGGTCCTGTGTGCTCGGAAACGCGGATCTCTCGCTGCTGGTCGTGCCGGTACTTTATTCATATTCCGGGCTATGGCTCCCCCATTTCTTCCTCCTTCTGGTGCTCTTCTGATTGCTGCTTCCATTGTCCTATCTGGGTTCCTGTCCCTCCTAGGTCCGGCTGCTCTTTCCGGCGCCACTTCCCGCTGGACATCTTTCCCTGGATCTATTTTCTCCCTCTCTTTTCTCCTAGCCCTTTTTTGTGCCCTCCTGCTTTTAGTTTTCGTCCATCCCTCACTTTCCCTCGGATACTCTCTGGCTGGGGATAAGGAGCTGTCCCTCGCGCGTGTTTCGTTTACTCTTACCACTCTACTCGTGATTCGTTTTTCCTCTCGAGTCCCTTCATTCGCACTCATCACGATCCTACCAGTGTTATCTACGCTCGTGCGAACTCGCGGCCTGTCCTCTATCCTCTTTTGCACACCTCGTAGCACCGGCCTATACACCGGAGGTAGGAGGGCCTCACTCGTCTCGTCCGATTCTATTGGGACCGAGGGTTGGTTCTTCCCCTTTCGTGTCCTCAGTGTCGGGAATTCCTCCGCTATTTCCTCATCTAACTGCGGGGGATTTGTACCTCCTTGTCCTAGTCCTCTTCGTTCTTCCCTCTCTCTGAGTTCCTGCACCGTTCGTGTTAGAGTTTCCACTTGGTCTTTCAATGCGGTTCTCTCCCTCCTCAGGGTATCCATCTCCCTCCTCATCTTGAGGACTTCCCTTTCTAACGCGAGATTACTGTTCCTCACCTCGTCAACGGGTCCTGTGCTTTTGGCGATATCTGAAACGAGTCGCTGTATGGCGATCTTCGCCACATTAACCCCTACCTTCACCTGACGCCTTAGATCTCCTTTCATCGTTTGCGTTTTTCTTTCCGCTTCTCCCGCCAGATCTAATACTCTGAGAGTTTCCGCCACTATTGACTT